CACAATTTTTGTTCTCTGACCTGAAGAGTGAGACTCTTGTTGAGTTTAATAGACTTGTTCCTGTTTTGTGTTTGGGTATTTCCTCTGTTTTCCTCTTCAGTTTTGGAGCATCCCTCACAGCATATGTCAGATAACTGCAGGTTTTCTGTTAAGCTAATGGAAAAGCAGAAACAAAGAGGCAGCTAAAGAGCTATTAGTTTGGATTGGTTAGTAATGGGCTTTTAGCCAATCTATTGATCCATCAGTAATCAATTTTGGCTCATCCTTAACCCATGAGCTGAATCTCAATCCATTTCCCGAAATGTCTTAGACAATTCAAAATTGACCCCAGCCCTTCACATACTTAATTCTGACGAGAAGATCTGGTTCCTCTTTAATGTGGAGTTCTGTCACATTACATTGGAGTGCACACATCAGTCACATGTATATGTTATGGGCTACTGGCTTCAGGAGCTGTCTGAGAGATTGAAGCTGAGGGGAGACTGTCTGGTGTCTCTGGCCTGTGGATGCACCCTGTCTGTGGTTCTGGTCTCACTCGAGTCGGTTCCTCTGGTCTAGGGTAACACTTTCTCATCCCTCTCAGGGCCACATCCTTGATACCAACAGCTCCTCAATTATGCAGTGACACAGAGAGATCAGCTGTCTCTGTGGATGTGGACAAGATAATATGGTGACACCAAGTGTGCATTACACTAGTTCTCTGGGTCAAGGCTCTGGGTTTGTAGCCAAGCTCTTTAGAGGACAGTAGAGCCAGTTAACCTTATTCGAATGTGTGTTTTTGAGCCTGGTATTTAGTGCCCACTATAGAAATTTCAAATAACTTTGCTGATTCAGTTCAAAGATTTGATGTTACCATCTACTGTATGTAGTTCTTGTTTTCTTTTAGCCTAGTGATAGCATCACCATCCAGATGCACTTCAGTCTTAAGTTCAGTGTTTTCAAGATGTTACGGTGTAATTTTTAGGAGATCTATTGGCAGAAATGGAATATAATATTAATATCTATGTTTTCTTCTTCGTATATTCACTTGAATATAGAAATTGTTATGTTTTTGTTACCTTAGAATGACGTCGCTGGTCGCCTTCCATGTTGAACTGCTATGTTTCTACAGTAGCCTAGAAGGGGCAAACAAACATTGCCACCGTAGATTCTCCTTCACGCTTGGAAAGGGAGGGTGAAATGAGGGAGCTCTCCAGTGCAAGAACTGTTTCTTACGCTGCATTCATACATGCACATACAAAGTAGCAGGCAGTCCCTGGCCTCTCATAAATCTGGAGTGTTGCGATGAGCATGTAATTTACATACTCTGCTCCGGGTGGACAGTTTTCTGACCGTACTACACATGAGGAAGTTGTTCATTTCCTGTTGTGCAGTTTGTTCCCCCCTGAGTACAGAATAGCCTTGTTTGTGCTCTTTTTTTTTTTACGTTGTGGTAGGTGTTGTTGCTTCAATACAACAGTGAAGGTGCAGAGTAGTAAAACTCTAACTCTGTTTCATTAAACGAGTGCAACTGGCTCTCACCTGGTTGTTGCTCATATTGTATCAGAGGACATCTGCATACATTTTAGCCTTTCGCAACTTTCCCCTGCGCCTTTGGAGTTTCTGTAGCTCAGCGGGCAGTGCCGCTTTGTAATGCCAGGTCCCATTCCCAATGAATAGCAGACTTCGATGTACACAAAATTCTCCTAAAAGAGATTGTAGGCCTATTTTAAGGAATAGTACAACATCTTTGGAAAAATAGAGGTTTAGGAAATGTTAGACAAAAAAAACAAACAAAAGTTAGATAAGAAGGTTGATATCACCCTTAATTCTGTATGATCGATATGTAGCTGGAGTCAGAAGCCGGTTAGCTTAGCTTAGCTTAGCATAGCATAAAGACTGGAAATAGGGTGAAACAGCTAGCCTGGCTCTGTCTAACAGTAAAAAAAAATCCTCCTACCAGCACATATAAAGCTCACAATTAACACCTTATATCTTTGTTTAATCAATGGGGGGGATTATATGCCGGACTATTTCTCGTCCGGGACCGGTAACTTCCCGGAGTCTTAGAAATACTGGTAGCCAACAAATAATGCCCACCCGTAAAATGTTGAATTGTCGTTTGTACATTTTTTTTTTTTTTTAAAGGTGCTAATTTTTCACCTTTGGACAGGGCCAGGCTAGCCCTGGCTATTCCCCTGTTTCTAGTCTTTATGCTAAGCTAAGTTAACCAACTGCTTATTGCTTAAGCTTACTATATACCATACAGTCATGAAAGTGGTATCAGTACTCTCATTAACTGTGAGAATATGTGTATTTATCAGAATGTCAAACTATTCCTTCAATATTTTTTGCTGATGAGTTTACATGAATCAATGATGTGAGTAATAAGATATGAAACAAACAAGTTTATTTTTTAAAACTACATTCTTGGTTGAATGAGTCGCCTGGGTCACATTTAGATATTGTTAAGTGGCTTTGAATAGCTCCCTTGATTTCACAGTTCCAAATGACCCGCGATAATCAGGTCATTAAAATGAGCCCATTCTCCACATCTGACACACTTCCACTCCTGCCTCATCTGAATAACAAATCAGCTCTGGAGTGCTTTCTCAAACAGAAAGGGGAAAAAAAGAAGAAAAGAGCGAAAACCGACTTTCTCTTTATTTTCAGGTTAACCTTATCTCTATATTCAGGAGTAAAGATGGTAAGTAAGCTAGAGGGGGGAAAAGGTCCTGTCAAAAGTGCCAGTGCCTGTGTGAAAGTACCCGGTTTTCTTAATTCATCCCTTAGGACCGGATAAGTCTATCAATCTGTTAAATTGGAAAGCCATTAGGTGCCCTGGTTTATGTGTTTCAAGCTGTTAACTAGAGGCTGATTGATTGTTGTTCCTTTGATGGGATATGCTGATCTAATCTCACTGTGTGCACGTTTGCAATAAATTACACAATTCATTTCCCCCATTTAGAGGGGGGAAAATCACACCTCCAGGCATGCCTACGCTCTGCGGGCAAAAGAGCAGGGAACCTATTTTATGGTGCCATTTAGCCAGCAAGCTTTCAGCGATCCCAGCCTTCTTTCTAACCCCCTCCCTCACCCTCTACCCCTCCAAAAAATCGAAGCATAATCAAGGTGTATGTTTAGAAAATTTATTGTTATAATTTTCCCCCATAATCTCTTCCATTTTCCTGGAGCCGAGCTGACATAGATCATCATCTAAAAAGAGAAAATGGATAGCAGTTTAAAATTTATCGGTCTTTGATTCTCAATTATACGTGTTTATGACTTCATCTGTCTTCAGTGACTTCAACCTTTTCCATTATGGTGGAATATTGTTTGTACGGAATCCATTAAATTCACAAGGCAGGACTCTAATGGTGGGGCTGCAGCGATTTGCAGAGGGAAAAGTTTTGAAAGGTTGGCTTTAGGAAAAGCGCGGCTGTTATGACACAAGAAATTGCTTTATTGATGGTCTGCTCTGCTGCCTGTGCATTTGGCCATTTGTTACCCGGCCCATATCTATATCTCAGGCTGACACTGATGAGAACTTTTCTGTTGCCCTCTCCAGATTATCGAGTTGTAATGACACATACAGGCAGGCTGGGTAAAAGCTGACGATCCAGGCAGAGTTTTTGGTGGTACAGAGGGTGGATATTGAGGCCGGGTGCCTGGAGGGCTTGGACGAAGCTGCTCATAATAGAGAAAAAGGGCTACATCGCTCCCATGACTGTTTCCATCCAAACCTTACAGAGGTCATCATCTCTGCTGAGAAACAATAAAGGAAGAGGAGGAGTGATAAAATGTGGATAAAATGAGAGCTAGAGAGATAAAAGGGAGAATACACCTTCTATATGCCCATATCTACTCATAAGGTACATGCTAAGCGAGTGAGAAAGCATATTTTTTAAATTATTTCTAAAAGGAAGCGATCATACACTAAAGGAATATAACAGCCTGGTGTGACTACAGTACATTTGCCAGAACTGTCATTGCCCTCCTTAAATACAAATTGTTTCCTGTTTACACAGGAAGTAACAAGACTCCCTCTAGTCAAGTGGCCCGCTGAAGTGTTCCAACCTGGATGACATTGAGGTTCTTCGACTGGCTGGTGCAAGGGGCCGAGTAAAAGCTAATCAGGCTGTAATTCAAGATTCGCCTGGCCACTTACAATCAATACTTGCACAATCCCAATTAAAGCTTACCGGGTCAGCGGAGGGCCACCAATTCCCTTACAAGTTAAAAGCAATACTTAAATCTAAGCAATCTCTGTGTGGCCTTCATTGGTTTAATGGCTCATCCCAAAAGGAGTGTCCAGTTAAAAGTGTAAGAAGGACACAGGGCGGATAGGTTACAGTGACAAGTGCTGCTGTCTTTGCGGATGCAGTTTGACACAAAGATCTTGTTGTCCAACAGGATATTGTGCAAACTCACTGCTTCAGTTCCTCATACCAGATGAAAACAATATCTTTTGCAAAGTTAAATGCGTAGGTAGTGTTTCATCAGCTGACATACATGTTTACCTAAGCCAGAGTTAGTTTGTACAATCACATTATGTTAAATCTGTCATAACAGAGGCTTGTAATACAGCAGAATGTGATCAGTGTTATTCAAATAGGCTGAAATGTTTTTTTTCTTTAGTTTCACTGATTCCTAAACACTATACAGACTCATTACCTCAGAACAAATGGTCCAGTATTTCCATTTCATGCCACTTTATACTACTCCAGTATATCTCAGAGGCAAATATTGTTCTTTTTTCTACATTTATTTAACAGATTAGGTTTTACATAAATTTTTTGAACAATAAATAAAATGGTCATGAAATGAATCTTGACCTGCTATAACAATAAAATGCTTTATACTCATTTTTGCATTAGCAATAATAATCTAATCATATATATAATAACACCCACAGGGACCATTATTATGCATTGAGTACTTTTACTTTTGATACTTTAAATACATTTTTCTAATAATACTTACACACGTTTAAGTATCATTTTAAATGTGATATTATTTAATTTTTTGCAGTGCTAAAGGATCTGAATAATTCTTCCATCACTGACTACATTTGTCTGACAGTTTCAGCTACTAGTTACTTTGAAGATTAAGATTTTACATTTTATATTTTACAGTTTATAAAACATGATGTACTTCCGTATATTAAGCTACAAAACAGTTTAAAATGTTGTTAAAATTAGCTCCACCTCGACCAACTATAATAGTAAAATTTCTTCTTTGAATGAATACTTCCTCCACCACTGCTCAGAACTCAAAATCTAATACCCACCTATTTTTCCCATTTTCCTTCCAGTTTTCTCCCTCTGAGGTTTTGCCGTTGCATCCATGTCTTTTATCACAATTTTGACCCACAGAAAGGAATTCTCACAAGATATCAAAACAAAAATCTATATTTAATATGGGAGCAATTACAAAGCGAAGTTGGCTGCACAGGGCCGTTGTCACCAGAGCGCGTGTTTTTCATCAAATGGGTCATTAGACGATGATGGATGTAAACCTATAAAGTATCTAAACTGGACCTTTTAACAAACCACGAGCAACACTATCATTTCTCTAATAGAACCTGCTGACCGTGTCATTCCCTCCTGCCATTTGTCATTTTTCCTTGTGAAATAATCAATATCTGGGCGCTTTGAAATAAATAATATAAAAGTCATGGTAACCTACCCGAGGAGCAACAAAAATAGACTTATGGAGCATTCAGAAGGCCTATATGGCCTCTGGGCAATGTCTGCTGCATGTTTCTAATCAATGCATAATATGAACTGTATTTTCTAAACTACAGACTACAGGATCTTTGTACAGTTTATTTTCAGAGTTGTTCTCTTTATCCCCAATTATGCACGTTGGACTGTCATTATAGTAGTAAAACACTGTAGTAAAGTATTATTTGTGACGTAAATATTACTAGTCCTTTCAACAATTTATTTTTTCGACTATATTTTATCAGTCAACAATCTGGGAATCTGGCCTTTATGACGCAAACCTACAAGAGTCACTTTTATTCAAGACTTCAAATAATAATAGATAAAATAATGATATATGCACACCAAACAGCTCCCAAATGATATATGTATTAATTTCATGCAACATTTTGGTCACAGGCATCAGCTACAGATCAGGCATTAGCCTCCCTTTGTTTAATTTCTTCATCCTTCCACATTTCTTTTTGAAATATTGTGACTTAAATGACAATATTCCGTCCTGTTTGTATATAACACCTTAAACACAACAATACCTCTGGGATCAAATCTGGGATTGTCATGCTTCCCCTTGGTGTCCAGTAGTAAAAAAGGTATGAGATTTCCAGGTATCAGGATATTAACTAATCCAAATTTCTTTTACTCTTTTTAAGATCACTGGTCCATGCACATTGTCCAGAAAAACATGGGTGAAATTGCAACCTGTAAGAGTTTCCATTGGCTTTCCAATCTTCTTATCCAGTTTCTAATTGGCTGTCTATATTTACAACTATTGACTGACGCATATTAACGCATACTAATAGATGCTCCCAACCTGATATACACATTTTACACCTCAGTCTGAGGGTGCCATCAAATACCTGTGATGATAACCATGTAAGGAAAGGCGGTAATTACATCAGAGTAACAGGATATCTCCACTTGAGCAGCTCCCTAAATGAATAACACGTGTTAATTACATGAACATGCCCGTGCGTGTAAGAACTCTACAAGATGATGAGGGACGAAGCACCATGGCACCCAGTACAAACTTTACCTTGTCACTGACACCCTTTATTATGCCTGCATATCGCATGGCTAATGAATGTAAAAAGATGATTCATGGCTGAAAGGAGTATCTCAGTTAGGTGTGTCGTACATGATCAAACTGTTACAGGACAAATATGCTGTAGAAGAAAACAGCTGTGTCACTGTTTGTCTTGGTCTCACACACCGACTTGGATTATGTCCCTGGAAACTTATTCTAACACTAATCATGAGTAACTTTAACCAAAACCCTAATCTTTACCCTAAAATGTAGTGGCTTGTCTTATGTGGGGACCGCAACTTGGAGGTGAGTCCCCACAATGTGACAGTGTGATGAGATTTTTTGTCCCCACAACGTGATTAATGCAAACCCTAACACACACACACACACACACACACACACACACACACACACACCCTCCACTCAGTCCACACACTTGCATTCCCTACTCTTGGCCCACAGAGGACGCTGTCTCCCCGTTCTTCTCCTACACCAGCCTCGAACCAATGGACTGCTTTTTAACAAGTCAATTAATATCAATGAGTGAATATACATAGCACATTTACAAAGAGTGCAATCTGAGGGATGAATTAACCAAATCGATTAGGGAGGAATAAATGACTGTGCGACCCGCAGACATTGTGGAAGTGGCCCTTGCTGAAAATCAATGAATTAGAAATATGAATCTAATCGCCCGTTGGTGACACGCTGAGTAGCTGCAGCCTGATCTCAGGCCTCTCTCATATTGTGTCTGAGAAGCAAAAATTTGGTGTTGGCATAGGGACCGTACACTCGTATTTAATCTTGTTTTGTCAAATTAGGATGGACATTTTAACCCGAGTGTGTGTTAATGTTTCTGCATGAGAAAGGTGGCGTTTTATTGATTGCGAGACTTTTGCACTATAACCTGCGCACCCTGTTGGTATTATTTCATGAGTTTATATGGCAGTGGGAATATTGTGCTGTTGGAAAGTTGCTAGATGGCTGGCTTGTTCATCTCACACACGGGATTTATTCGAGAAAATTTGCTTTATTTAATATAATTAGTTTGAACGGACTCACGAAAGCATCACATTGAGGCCCTGGATAATGAATGCAAGCAATATGATATATTATTATTAGAAGTATTATTATCATTATTATTATTATTATTCGGTTATATTTCTTTTAAATACAAAGCTTCAGTTGATGGTTAGAAGCTGTCTAGAAGTTAAATATAGACTAACATCTCCTACAAATCTACTAAGAAATAGCCGAATTTAAAATATCCACCAGACACCTGCAGCCTGAGTGGAAGCGGCTCAAAATGTATCACTAAATATAAAAACACACTGGTTTATGGTTTATGGTTTATGAGAAACCTCGTGCAGTCGATCTGTGTCTGACTGTAATGTTAGTTGTGTGATGAGGCGCTTATCCCAAACCTTCCTCTTTGGCGCTAACAGCCCAGTGTTCATTTGCTGCCTAATTGGACTATATGAGACCAATAACAGGCGAGCACACACAGCCTGCAGCCAGAGTGCACAGAGAGAGGAGGATGGTCTCTCTCTCTCTCTCTCTCTCTCTCTCTCTCTCTCTCTCTCTCTCTCGCTCTCTCGCTCTCTCTCTCTCTCTCTCCCTCCTCACCGTCTCTCCCTTAATCCCATTTGCCATTGTACATGCCCAATCGCCTATACTTTCCGCATTTAACTTGGATGACATTTTTATTTCATCATTAGCATCAGACGCCAGACTGACTGACACGGTGGACACAGTTTGCGATTTGACGAAAGAGCCCGGAATGAGACATCTCCATGTTTATAAGTGTTTTTTTGTACCTCTCAAACATTTTATTTTATTATTTTTCTAGCCTAGAAGGACGTGCGTTTTAAAAAATCCCTGAGAAGAATAAAACAGGGAATCCACGCAGCCGGGATATCGACAGTCTGTAAGTCAGCCTTGCGGTTTTTTTTTCTGTCTATCTGAATTCCTGCTTCCGTGGTCCTCTGCGTTCAGACCACAGCCACAGCGATGCCAGAGACAACGCAAGAGACGTGCGCTTCGGCCAAGGACTCTCCTTTCTTCATTAAGAACCTGCTGAACTGTGATAGCAAACCGTCCAAACCAAAGCCCGTATTGGCTGCCACAAAGGCGGCCTTGGAGGGAGGATTTTCCCTTTCCCAGGTCGGGGAATTCAACTTTCCACGCTTTGACCTGCCCGCACAGAGGTTCAGTCTACCGGCTCACTACTTGGAGCGCACCTCGGCGTGGTGGTATCCCTACGCCCTCAGCTCATCCGCCCACCTACACAGAACCGAAGGTAAGACTGACAGAAAACAACAATAATTACAGGGTATCATGTATGAACAAGCAATTATCACTCTTTTGGCCTTTTAATTCCATTTTGATGTTGGAGTCCCCCCCACCCCCCCTCTTAATTAGTAAAACAGAGAGGGCAAACTTCAAAAATAACAATCACAATAAAGGACCATTCAAGTCCATGTCCCCTGGGAGTTTTGTGACACATAATAACATATTGACAGCAACCAGTCATTGCCCTCCTCATCGGAAAGTTAACTGGATTTTGTGTGTTTTGGTGATGGGGAAATAAAATGGCATGCCTTGTCTTTACCACACCACAGAGTAGCTACATAGTGATTTGACGCCTTGTCCTCTATGAAGGCCTATTTTGTTATGCCACTACGCGGGAATAGATCAATAAAGTGACACACTGAGCATAAAATGAAGTAGACATCATCAAATCATCAGATGAGGGTGACGATGCGCAGCCTGCTTTTGATTTGTCTATTGGCGCTGACTATGAACATCTTACCCCAGAGGCTCGGTCACTGACAGCGTTTTTACCTGCCTGTTTCTGTGATTTATTCATGTGGGATTTAAAATACGCTGATATGAATGGCACTATCATGCGTTCATGCAAAGAAAGATAGGATTCAGAAAGCTTGTTCAATTAGAGTGAATGTGCAACCCTGATTTGTTCAAATAAAAGTAATAAAAAAAAACAGGCCTATATTTGGAACATTTTATTTCTTTATTCTATTCAAAGGTGATATTTTTAGTAGGTTAAAATAATAATTTGAATACATTTAACACGGTGTTGTCAGTCATGTGTAGCTCTAAAATGGTTTATGTTTATGTCACCAACCATATTTTTCTGGCACTATTTCTAACCGTTTTAGTTTTCCCAAAGCCCACGGGCTGCCCAGTATCAACAGGCTGTAATAAAATCCCAAACACATTTAACGTCAGGCCCCAGTGTTTATGACCACATCTCCCTGTGTCCCCATTTCAGTCACCGAGAAACCAAGAGCCAGAGACTCCTCTCCAACCTCGGGCACAGACAGAGACTCGCCGGACCTGGTGCTCAAATCGGAGCCAGACGCCAAAGACGACGACGAGGACGATGAGCACAACAACAAAAGCGGCGACGAGATCATTCTGGAGGAGAGCGACACGGAAGAAACCAAAAAAGACGAGCTGGAGGAGTGGAAGAAGAGGGACGACGACAAAAAGCCGTGCCGCAAGAAGAAGACGCGCACGGTTTTCTCCCGGAGTCAGGTGTTCCAGCTGGAGTCCACCTTCGACATGAAGCGGTACCTGAGCAGCTCGGAGCGGGCCGGCCTGGCCGCATCCCTCCACCTGACGGAGACTCAGGTGAAGATCTGGTTCCAGAACAGGAGGAACAAGTGGAAAAGGCAGCTGGCGGCGGAGCTAGAGGCCGCCAATCTGAGCCACGCCGCGGCGCAGAGGATAGTCCGGGTGCCCATCCTCTACCACGAGAACTCGGCCTCGGAGAGCGGAGGCGCCGCTGCCAACGTGCCAGCGAGCCAGCCGCTGCTCACCTTCCCGCACCCCGGCGTGTACTACTCCCATCCCATCGTCACATCCGTGCCACTACTCAGACCGGTTTGAACAGAGCTGAGTGGTGCGGCACAAGTTCGTGTTTATTTTGCAAATCAACTCATCCGAAAAGTAAAAGAAACACTTAATATTTTTGTACAAGTGACTGAATGAAGACACAAAACAACAAAAAGAAAAAAAAAAAAGAAAAAAAGAGACACACTGTCAGGCCTACATGGACCTATTCTGGCAAATGTATTGTGTCATTTTCCATTAAGGGTGCCGTTTACTCATGATCCGACAATTCAAATCTCATGTTTTATTATTATTATTATTATTATTATTATTATTATTATTATTATTATTATTATTATATGTAAGTATCACCTCAGGAGTCCACCTGCTTACACTGCCTGATGAGTGTCTTTTATTTTTTACACCATGACTTTTGCTGGACAGGCCAACTCTGTGTGATGTACAAAAAAAACTTTACTTTGTTTACAAAAATTGGGCAGCCTAAAGGGCGCAGACCTGCTTATCATCTGACTTCAATCAATTATTAGATTTTTTATTTACATTTCCACTACTGATTACCCGATGATGTGCAATACACTGACTGTGTGCTGTGAATGAATCAGTCCACGCTTTGGGAAACATGCGCGTTTTGTCATCTATTCACGGTGGAATATTCTACTGATGAGGCGTTGTTGTAGGCTAATTTCCCTTTTTATGTTCTATTTTTTTGCTTTTTAAATCTTGACGGGGGACAATCAAGACACTCTCAACTGTAAAATACACATGTAGCTTTATGTTTAGTTTTAGTGCTTCTCACTCTTGTTCCCTCCACATGGACACGTCCTTCAAGCACAAGTGTGAGTTCCAATGTCTCTTAATCTACTTTGTGTTTTTAAACAGGAGCGGCAAAAATATCGACTACACTGGTGTAAAAAATATGTAAATGTATATATTTAATGAGGCGGCGTCTCCTTTGTACAGTAAAGACATCGTTTTGATATTGTACTGCTGAACCATGTTGTGAAATAAATGGAGAATATTCCTTACATTTTAGGATATTTTTTGTATGACTTCTGAATCCAGTTATGGATTGGAAAATCTCAGAGGAGGTTCAATTTTATAATTAACATATATTTAAAAAAAAAAAAAAGACCACTACAACATTAAAACATAAAAAAATATATTTTATGCACCAAGAGACGAAAAAAAAAAGATAATCCAAATTAATATCTCTGTTCTTATAATAGATAGGCCTACACATCGAGCCTCTCTCACTCTCTCAGACACACACACACACACACACACACACACACACACACACACACACACACACACACACACACACACTTGTAGCTTGGGCAGGTGGGTTTCTGTAATCATCTTAGTGTTATGCACTTTAAAAACGTTATTTTACATAAAAAGTGGTTCGGTCAATTAGATGCGTAATTGCCACCATCTTGCCAAAATTATGGGTAATTTATTCAGAAGAGGACATTACTCCCTGAGTATGAGCTGCTGTCTTTTAACATTCTCTCTCTCTCTCTCTCTCTCTCTCTCTCTCTCTCTCTCTCTCTCTCTCTCTTATTGCCTTGTGTGTGTCTGTGTGTATTGTTCAGTGTGAGGTGGTGAGGTGAAAGGATGGATCCAGCAAGTATCTCCCCCTCACTATTATTTTGGTTTTACAGCAAACGGTCAATTTTATTTCTAAGTCATTCTTATTTTTTTTGTAACTTATTTTTTGTTACTTTTGTATTTTACGCACATTTCCTTTTATTTAGTTCCTCAACGTTATTTTATTTTTTGACTTAATTGACTTTATGAGTAAACCTCTCTTTTTAAGGATCACTTGTGATGCCACTTGTATTTAAGTGGTGAGATAGAACACTTGTTTTAAGATATAAAAACATTTTATGTAGAAAATCATAACCATGTTTTTTAATCTGTAGGCTACAATAACATCTCACAAAGGTCGTCTCCAAAGGTAAAGCCTATATTGCGCCGTAGTCTCATAAATTATTGGCTCACCAAGAAAGAAAAGAAAGAATTTTTTTTTTAAAAAAGGTGTAAAATTTCAAATTAGAGATAAATAATTAAACTAGTACTTTGTAACACACAGGCCCACGATCGACCCTACAGGTGTCACTGGACACTTGGCAATCTCAAGAGGACATGCACAAGTTTGCATATTGGCTAAGTTAATTAAATAACACAGTTAGGGGTGTAAAAAGTTAATAAAACGGATATCAGATATTATACTACTTCAGATAATATCTACTCTATTGTTTTCACGCCAATTAACCAGCTTTAACATTTTCTTCTTCAACTTCTGAGCGAATGCGGAGAGATTTGAATTTCACTTGATGGTGATAAAGATATTGCGTGATTTGAGAAAATAAATGGACATTTTTAAACATGCACTAAAAAAAATATACACGCTGCCTTCCTCGTGGTGATGGTATTGCTTTTAAATCTTCAAAAAAAAATGTTTGAGAATCACATTTCGATGTATTTTTGAACAGCATCCAGATTAGACATCGTGCCGAGACTGACATTTTATTTCATATCCTGTCACTGCTTATTTATTTTTTTTTAATTTTATTTTGCTTTTTTTTTTTTTTCAAACAAAGCTGGATGTATAAAGTTACAAGAGAGCAATGCTGATCCAAGGGGAGGAGGCTATGGGGGGAGGAGTGAATACTCCTCTCAGCCTCTGTTGAGTTGGGCTCAGACACAATAAATAGCAATAACCAGTGATCGATAATAAATAATCACTAGAATGCAATGCTTTATTTATGCCTTTAACAAAGGTTTTAACATTTCTTTAGCTTTGGAGTAAACACCACCTCCAGACTGTAAGCAGGTGACATAGTCCAGGTGGACACACCTGCAGAGGAACTACACTGTAAATCTTTGATGTTAATTTAAAGGGAAGAGTCCGTTTAATTAAAAACACCAACACTTCACGATGCTTAATCCCCTCGTTGTTTGTTTGACATGCAGCCAGGCAAACTATTAATAGCTTCATAGTTTGAGGACAGTTTTTGGAGTATGTGAAGATTCAGCCTGCCTGCAGTACATTACATAATACATCTAACAACAAACTACACAATATTGCTGTTGAATTGCCCAAAGATGTGAAATATCTCCATGAAGAATTGTTGAAATTTAAAATTAAAAAACAAATGGGATTATTAGTTAGAAAAAAATCTACAATGAGGCACATCAGCCTTTGCCTCAAAGGTAATTTTCCGTTTTCATCTGTGGTCTAATGCAGTTATTGGAAATGAATCAGTCAGCAATAAACGCCTATATGATGACCTCATCAAGAGACAAAGGGTTCATTCAAATATCGTCAGATAACCCAAGTATCGACGCGTACCTACCATGCACACGGCCCCATTACTGCAAATGAATAGATTGGTGTGGCATTATTCCTCTGGCACATATCGATCTGTAAACGTCTGCATCGTATTGCGTCAAGTAAGAGCAACGTTCACGCGCCGCTTCGGCTCAGCATATGACCTTGATTTGCGCGCATAAATTGAAAAAATTACCACTCGATAATTTCCATTTGTGCGACATCTTTATGTAAAGGAGAAAAGGGAGCGGGGCCAAAATCAGATAAAGTACATTTGCAGGAATGGGGGCAAACGGACGTGACCGGGGAGTGCGCTCAGTGTATTACATTAAAATGGAGAGCTGAATGGGTAATTTTAAGCCCTATCATAGGTTTTAGTGCCGGTTTGGAAACACACAAGTGGCCCGACCACCTTGCGTAACGGTAGCCTCTTCTCTGGAGCCACTGGCGTCTGATCACATGTGTGTTTAAAGTTTGTTATAGGGACTGCATGCAATGCTTAAAGCATTTACTTAAAGAACCAAAATAGGTTTTGTTATGGCAGAAGCCTAAAGAACTATTCCTGGTTAATTAAACGAGGTTCTCTGAGGTACCTGAAGAGTTGGCAGACTGTTCTCCCTACCAAAACACAACCCATGTGAATCAATGATATTTCAATTGAAGCACTAAGACAAAGATCCAGAATATATAAGCTTTATCATCACTTATAAAGTTTTCAATCTATTTCACAAATCCTTTCAAACAATGGAGTGAACTGGAGTGTAATGGTGTATGGAAAATCAGCTCAAAAGACACCTTTCACGTCGGTCCCGTGCGTCAACAAACACGTCCTGGTATAGACACAAACTGCTGGTGAATTTCCGTAAACAGAAGTGAAGCGCCTCACGTCTTCCCTGTGTGACGCGCCAGAGCTCGTGTGTTTGGACAACTCTTTTGACACTTCTCGAAGAGGAAATCTTGTTTTAAACCCATCCCATTTGCTTTGCTGATTGAATGCGAGCATCAGATTTTCATCAAAGTTCTATTAAGTGAAACATAGGTTGCGGGGCACCGTCTGATTGGAACAGTTTAAATTTTAATTGTGTTTTTAATTTGACATATAGTTGCTGTGAAGAATGACACTGAAACGCCGAGGGGCGGTCGATTTTCTTAATTTCTCCCCGAGGAATTGATGAGTCTATCAGGGCAGTAGATTGGAAAGCCATTAAAACTCAATGGTTAGGTTGTTAATTGGAACTTGATGGATAGGAGCCTGTGGATAGGCTGTACTGATCCAATCTTCCTGACTTTGTGTTTTCCAATAAATTACCCAGTTCATTTCCACACTCAGATTACATAAATTGTACACCTCCAGGGCTCGGGCGCTCTGCTTGCGTTTACAACTCTCTCTCTCTCTCTCTCTCTCTCTCTCTCTCTCTCTCTCTCTCTCTCTCTCTCTCTCTCTCTCGCTCCCTTTCTCTCCCTTACACACACACACACACACACACACACACACACACACACGCCTCCTGAAAAAAGAGCAGGCCCCGCTTTCTTGAATGAAAATCGAAACATAATCAACGTTTATACTTAGAAAATTTATTGATATCATTTTCTCTGGTAATTTCCTTATTCTAGAGTTGGACACGCCATACATCATAATACACACGTGTAAAGGGTCTTTGTTTAATATTTATCGAAGCTTGATTCCCAGATCAAAGCGCCTCATAACTTCATCTGTCTCTCTCAGACCTTTCTTCCCCTGCTAAAGATCTTGTTCTGTTATTGCGGTAGGGCGGCCATACACCACCTATCATTGTGATAGAGCACGAACTTAGGCCCGCTCCTTCGCTGTTTGGGCCTATACGCCGCATGAAGGTGAAACGCAGAAACATGGGTAAGGGATGGACATTTCCATACTAACTACACTGCTGGGCCTGTATGACTGGGCCTATAAACGCCAACTGTGACATAAAAACAGCGCGCGTAATTCACTCCACTGCGGCACAATGGCAGCCTGTTATGTCCACTATCTCTATGATGAACTAATCTCACTTTGCAAAAGTCGTCTGAAAGTGATGAAGGCGGCCGCACTGACAAAGGTCTTTGTTTGAAAAGAGCGGCATATAAAATAAACCCATTTAACTGTCATTGCAGATTTCACGCCTTATGTGTAACAACCATAAATCCAGCATCCGCCCTGACTGCCCTCATATATTTGCCCCCCCTTCAGTAAAGCCTCCCCTGCCTAAGCGTTTTGTTAAGATCGTTAAGCAGCTGCCGGCCCCGCTGCCAGTTGACGATATTTACGCGTGGATCCAGATGCTTCTGTCTGGCTGCTATGATGATGATGATGATGATGATGCTGCTGACAGCGGCTTCTGTCGTCGTCACCATCATCATCACCGTCATCAGTAGCAGCAGTACCAACACCAGAGTCCATGGCCGCCGTCTTCTCCCTTGTCCGGCTTGTCTTAACACCCAGTGCCGGTTGTGTGGCTACCGGGAAGGGCGCTGACATGATGATTAAAGCTGACTATTTGTAATGTGTCTGGGGCTCCCTTACAAAGCAGTAAAAGAGGGATAATGTGGCCGACCCGCCAGCTCAAGCCCCGCAGCTGTCCCGCAGCCAGACACAACCAGAGAGAGAGAGAGAGAGAGACACACACACACACACACACACACACACACACACACACACACACACACACACACACACACACACATAGATAGAGCATGGGTGGTGGTGGTGGGAAGCGTCCCCCCCACCTCCCTCCCTCCCTCCCTTCTCAACACCGCACACACACACACACACACACACACACACACACACACACACACACACGCACGCGCGCACGCACTCAGCCCCCACCACCTCCAATCAATTAGTCAATCAATTAGCCGGCCTCCACTCCACGCGCGGTCATCACGAGGCAGATTAGCTCAGTAATGATCAAATTAATTCTTAATCGCAGATAATGGACGCGGAATGAGTTTATTATTTTCAGGAAAAATGAGTTAGGCCTCTGTATTAGTTCCAAGGCTGCGTGCGTGTTACCGTCACCCCGGCCAATTTAGCATGCATAGGATAATAGAAAAAAGCAGTGGTGGCAGTTCGTGCGCGAGGTCATCCTCAGTTGACTGAGCCTTTTCCTGCTTTTACAGGTTGCATGTAGGATTATAAACAATATGCCTGTACTTCTGTGTTTATAAATGAGACATAAGCCACAAAAAACACACTCCGAGGGAATTATATTGCAAAAATAGTTGATTTTTAAAATTAAATTTTTCACACATTTTGAAAATATATGACATATGGCAATTTAGTGCCTTTTGAAATTCATAACGACGTTGTAATTTACTCAAAATGAGCGATATGGGAACACATATTTGTTTTAATAGGAAAATAAAAAGGAAATGCTGTAGATTTCCGGGTTATAAAGACTCAAGTGCAACTGAATGTAGAAATGAGCATCTTCGGCTCTCTCGCTCTCCTCATCTCATCTCAAAACCTTGACAGGAGTTTGAAATTTCCGGGCTTCAGTTGGAGGCAGCGATTGGCCCAGGAGGAGCTTACCTACATGCAAATGAAGCAACGCAACCTTGCTGCCTCTGATCCAGAGCGTGAGGAGGAGGACCAGGAATACACTCATGTTCCCCGAGCTCTAGAAAAAACACCTTCAACTCCTTCAATGTTAAAACTCCACAATTAAGCAGGCGAGGGGGAAAAAAAGAAGAAGACAAAAGCCGCTTTCGCAATTTTTACGCACCAATCGTGTAGAAACCAATAACGGAATACAAAGGGAACAGACAGATTCAGTCAATACTTCAATACTGTTATGAAGCGAGAATGAGTAGCGCAGAAGACAGCGGGAGCAAGTGCTCGTCGGGCCCGATTTCCAGCTTTACCATCCAGTCTATTTTAGGCACGCCGTCCGATGCGCCGCGCTCCGGGACCAAAGAGCTCTCCAAGGGGCCGCCGCCGCCGCCGCGGAGGCGCTCACTCTCGGTGTCCTCCGAGGAGGAGTGCAGCGGCGGGGAGGACTCAGCAGACTGCTTCTGCTCCGACACGGGTCACAGCGAGCCATGTACCCAGCACCGAGCCCATAACTTCTCATGTTTAGGTGAGCAATATTTATTATTATTATTATTAGAAATATTATCATTATTGTTACTGTTATTACAGATTGAAGTGGTACAAAAGAAGAATTTATTAAGAACATTTATTGCATGTATTTACACTTTTTTGAAATATTTTCCTTTCACTCACTATACAATGGCATGAAAGTAGTCCTAATTAGTTCCTTTAAAAAGAAAAGAGCAGGCCTCCTGTTTTATGTTTATGTTTGCAGTTCAGCTCACATTTCATTAGCCTGTGTTTGTGACTGTAACACTCACATGCAGCTCATCCACATCCACTTGTTTGTTATGTGCAGACTATCATCGCAGCAGCAGCGGAAGAGGGGAAGGTCGAATAATTAGCCCTCTGTCTTTCCTCTCATTTCAAATTTAATTGAGCCTGCTAATTGATGAAACATGTTTCTAAAATGGCTGCACTACACGTCGTCAATTGAGCGTTAAATAGAGCGGGATTTAATTAATAGCTTACTGTACACCAAGCATACTCATGCTGAACTGTTTATTTAAAAAGTCCCCGGCTTTCAGCAGTCGATTTAGGGTGTCAGAGTTCACACTCGACGAACTCTCAAACTGAGTATGTCGAAAAAATGTAAAATGATTTATTTATTTTTTAATCAGTCGTTTTTAAAAAGCATGCTTAAAACATAGATGTGTTTGTCGGTTCTGATGTCCATCGCCTCCTTTCTCCCGCTCGCGTGCAGGTCCCGCTAAAGGACTCCTGTCTGGAAACGACGGGCTCGCGCGGCGGCCGCACCTGCCACAACCTCTGCTGCAGGATTATAAGGAGGAGCGCGAGAGACCGTGCCATCAAATGTCACCCAGTCTGTCGGAGGAGAGACAGACGGACGGTGCGGACAAGCAGGGCAACTCGGCCAAGAAGAAGACGCGCACGGTTTTCTCCCGGAGTCAGGTGTACCAGCTGGAGTCCACCTTCGACATGAAGCGGTACCTGAGCAGCTCGGAGCGGGCCTGCTTAGCCTCCAGCCTGCAGCTGACGGAGACTCAGGTCAAGACGTGGTTTCAGAACAGGAGGAACAAATGGAAACGGCAGCTATCAGCTGAACTGGAGGCGGCCAACATGGCCCACGCCTCCGCACAGACACTAGTGGGAATGCCGCTGGTTTTCAGAGATAACTCCTTACTGCGCGTTCCAGTTCCCCGGTCTATCGCCTTTCCGACTCCCCTCTATTACCCGGGGAGCAACCTGCCAGCGTTACCTTTATACAACCTGTATAACAAGATTGAGTACTGATTGACTCTACTGTATGTTCACCACTGCAGTCCACGTAAAAAAAACGCATTACAAAACAATACAACATTGTCATAAGTGTCTCCATAACCGCTGTATATTAATTGTATCACTTTATTTGTTGAGGAAATTCTTATTATGCAGCAACTGTACGTCTCACACGAAAGCAATCAAGCTTCCCTAAATGTATAAAATACACCATGTGTATAATTAATTCTAATAATTTTTGTACTTTTATTTTATTTTCCCTCTCCTCCCTTAACTGATAAAAATAGTGGAGTTTAGCATTCAGATCATTCAAGAAAAATGGATCCACAGGAAATGCTTTTACACTGTTTCTATTGATAATTGGTTTGTCAGATATATTGCAAAGCATCAGTCATTTTAGTTCACCTGACAGGATCAAAACAATTATTCCATTTCAGGAAAAATATCATTGTTTCTATTGTAATTTAGACCTTCAATAATAACCTTCTCATTCAATAAATTTTCTATTTCAGTGAAAATTGGGCTTGCTTGGTTTTATTTTATGTACAGTTTTTGTATACTTGCATTTGTAAACTATTGACAATGTTAACATTTTAATAGACAAAGCAAACACTTAGGCTAATGTTAAATTCGAATAGTTGACAGTTCTTGTCTCCTGAAGAGCATACAAACACTACACAAAACAATTTTAAGGCATTTTTTCGTAATGATCCAATGTTATAATCTCTTTATGTTAAATGCGTATTATATAGTTAGAAATGAATAGTGGATTTTTGTGTTAGGGCCGCAGTAAATCTCATCTGAATGGTTTTTTTTAGAGGTGCTTTAAACTAATAACACCTGTGCTTTAACCACCTAAAGTAAGGGAAGACCTGGAAGAGTTTCTAAAACTACAGATGTCTTCATTATGCAAAGACTTTAATGTCATACTCTCAGATTTATTTTGAATTCATAAACAGTGAGTGTTAGCACAGCACTCTTGCCTTCCTGTAAATCAAGAGGTAGTTGAACTGAGATATCTGCCTTATAAAGGTAATACATACAGAGGTAACTAAGGAGTAGATAAAGCACATTGCAGGCTGGGAAAAAGATGCACACTATCACAAGCTAATCATGCCTCTGGGCCGGATCTTCTCTCATCTGAACTGCCTCCTAGCATCAGGCCTTGTAAGGGGAAACATAATAAAGAGGCATATTGTCAAAGTTCAAGACTCTCATTAATCGAAGCTGTTCTCTTTTCTCCATCTGCTTAATGAATTACTGTATCAGTTACACTTTGAATTCAGGACACCATACACAGTATGTCTTGTTAATTCAGAAGCTAGTTTAGATTTTCAAGAGGTCCAGCGCACCAAGTTGGCTCGCATTGTCGAAGTTGAATTTACTATTTCATAGCAATTCAATACATGCAAATACTAAACACAAGCCTGAACAGAATCACACACACTTACTCACTCCAAGGCATGCACACACACACACACACACACACACACACACGTCCCGTTGTTGATGGGGAGCGATAAAACTGTGTCATTTGCCAGCTTTTCTTGGGTGTCACATCATGTACAAGGGACCCCCACCACCACCCACCCAACCCCTTCTACCCATCCCACCAATCTCTCACTGTGTGCTAATGGCTACATTACCTAGCAGAATCATGACTAGCCAGGCTCTGCTGCCCTGCAGATTATGCCTGACCCAATTTCTGCAACAGCCGCCCTGTGTTTCTGGGAAAATGGATAGCGTTAGACAACAGCAGTGATTTATGGGTAACTCCAGCACCAGCGAAGAGGTGAGGTGCAGGAGGATGAATTTGTGACAGATAGGAGAGGGAGAGAAAAGAGAGATAGAGAGAGGGATGGGGGACCGTAACGCTTATGAAAAGGAGCAATAGCTTTGGTTGAATGAAGCTGTTTATTAGTTTCCAAGTGGTCATTATGTCATCAGGTGTGACGGCAATGCGCTGCTCTTTTGGATGGATGTTTGCACCCCAGTGACTTGTGGGAAATCTGCATGACCTGTCACCTGAGGTTGTTTGATTTACAAGACAGGGAGAGAGAGAGAGAGAGAAAGAGAGAGAGAAATGTGTGGAGATGCAGTGATGAGCAAAGGAGAGAATAAGAACCAGAGAGAGAAAGTGAAAGAGAGGAATAGGTGGGGGTGGGGAGGAGGGGGTTCGATGTAACTATGTATCACTGCAATGGCAGGTGTGAATTACAAATTTTAATAGCAGGGCAATGAAAATGATTTGAAGTGGTTTAAACTGCAAAGAGACAGCGACTGGCATGGTGATGAAGATTTGTTGAGATGATGTGTTGTGCCTTAGGATTCATCAAACCTGCCTGGTAAGGTGAAAAGCAAGTGTAATTCACTCTGTGGTATAATTTATGATGGGAGTAATGGAAACTGTGGGCTACACACAGAGCGGAGAGGGAGAGGCAAAGACAGAGAGCACCGGGCAAATTGATTCTCAGGATAGTTTTTAGAGCATATTTACAGGATCATAATGAATTATACTAAAACCTCCAGATATCACCTCTTTTATGTCTTGAGATAAAATGATGTAATCAAAAATAACTTAATAGAGAACCTATTAAATTTAAACAGGCTGCAACAACATTACTTTACTTATTTATTTATAATGTACGCTTCCAATATTTGAAGAACCACCCCCCCCTTTTTTTTTTCTTTTTACATATTCCTATCCCTCATGATGTATTTGGATGAGGGCTTTTCAGCTACCTCCCAACATATTTACAGCCATTTGATTTAAAGAGGGTATGGCTTCATATTAGAGTGGAAGGTTATGAAGTATAACACCACGAGCAGATGCAGAGCCTCGGGTCTGCCTCAAGACAAGAGTTTTAAAAGCGATCGCAATGCATTAAGCCAGACAACTCTCAAGACCTGTTTGCTCCCTAAATGAATTTGAGGGGAGCGTAACAAGGTTTTTGAGGCAGGCCCTGTCATCCGCTGGCTTTAACCAGCTTCTGTATTTATGGGTTAATGGTTAAAAAGGAGAGCTCGGACCAGAAGTGATTTTTCATGATTCTGTTTTATATCAACTGGAAATGAAGGAGCTGAAGGGAAATTGTGTTTGTCCCCCCTCTTCCTCCCCAGACCCTTACCCCTTCTCCTTAACAGGAGAGGAATATGCAACTCTACAAGGCAAAGGAAAATGTGAAATGCAACAAATGGATAAAGTATATTAAGTCAAATATGGTAGAGTCATAGCTTTCGGAATTATTTGGGTTACTTTAAAGATACAGCCAAAATCCTGATGCGAATGGTTCCTGAAAAAGGCATAAAAACACAAGATATACCAAGCTTTGAATACAAACAATTTACTTTTTTTTTAATTTGCTTAATATAAACCAAACAATGAGTTTTAGTCTTTTAAAGTCATAATACTGTGACTGACAGAATCAACATTACCTATTTTGAGATGTTTAAAACTCAAGGTCAAATACAAGCATTTCTGTTATTTGAACCACAATGAAAGCCTTTCCATCTCCAAGTTAAACTCCCAAGAACAATATTTAACCAAAAATCTGGATTAGGGCTTTAATGGCAAAGTGCATTATGCTTCATTGTTAAATTACCAACCATTTCTTGAACTGCCTGTTTTGAAGTGCCATTTGCTGTCCAGTATGCATCAAACTATTATAGGCTACAGTACGTGTAGAGAACTGGGCTATTACTCTAGAGATAAGTCCATTAGCATTACCTTTGACACAATAATGGATGTGAGATACAATTCTCTGCTCTCCATTTTGTATTTGTAAGGATAATAGGGGGATTATCTTGAAGGCCTTATGCTACACACTCAAGAGTGAGACCACACTGAGGACAGAGAGCTCTGCAACAGTTGTTTTCACATCCTCCCCTCTCTCCCTCAGCCCTTCCCTCTGCTCCAAGACCCTCTCAGAGAGAGGCAGGGAAGATAAAGCATGTCATTATTCTATTAAAGACCTACAATTTTTGTAATGGGACTTGCAGCGGTCGGCAGAAGTGCAGGCAGCTTCTTCAATATCCTGGACATTATTTGCTCATTTAGTTAAATGATGTTTCTAATTCTCTCATAATTACTTGTAATGAGGCTGCCTCCCTCGTTTTGATGCGGCTACATCTTAATACAGCATGGCATTCTTTTTTAGGGATAATTACCTCTCATGAGGCTGGGGAGCAAGGCTGGGGTTTGTTGTGCACTGCACACGTGGCAAATTGGCTTGTTTCCTGCCATCTTGTCTTCCTGCAAATTGGTAAATTAAGTTTCTCGGCTGGAGCATTAGAACTGTTAAGTTTGCTTTCTCGGCTCCTTCAAATGATTGGCTTCACTGACAGAGAGATGGCTGTATGCTCTGTGTTTTGTCTTATTTACTTGTTAGACTGTTTATTTAAAGAGAATACAGTGAATGTTAGGAGAGCTGAAAGTTGGAACACTAAGATTCATTCAACACTTAAAAACCAGGGAACTAAAACTAGGGACAAACCTCAAAATTGAAATTGAATTGCAAAGAATTGAACACTGGAATCATGCATACAAATTAGGTTCATTTATTGTAGTGCCAACAGAAAACAATAGTGCCATAAAATACACATGGACTGCCACTTTGTCAACACAGTCAGTGAAGCAGTTTTATCATTTTCATCTTGATAATATCATCAAGGGAGACTTGCAAGTCTTTTTTTTTAATCCCATGGATGAAATAAATAAATTTTTCTAAAAATTTAAAAATACAGAAATAAGATGTATGAACTCCATCTTAGAATGGATTTTCCCTTTCCTGTTTCCTTTCTACCAGCAGACCTGTCTGTGTTGTCCCTCTGAAATGATCCAGCTGCCATACTCCAACCGCAGCCGTCGCAGGGTTGGCTGAGGGGTTTTTATTTCTAAGTGCTGATGTGTCGCAGACAGTTTGGCTCTACAAGGGCCTGTTATATGCCGATTAAAGAGAGGGAAGGAGTGCTCCCGCAGGGCGGCCTTGTACATTTACCCTGACCACAAAAAGGTCTAACGTTTACGCCCCGGTGCTGACATGACCTTCAAACAAGGTCCCTCTGCTGCCTGGGTGGATACTGGAACTGTCTGGAGGAGACCTGCAGTGAAACTAACAGACAGGAAGAAATCATATCATTTATATCAGGAATTACCTCTCTGCCATATCCTGTGAAGTTAGAAGATATGGCTTTTATTAGGAAATACAGGAAAAGATAGTTATTTTTTGCACTTATATGGCAAAATGTGATTTCCCAAAGCTTTTGTCAGATTTACTAAATGTTGGAACATGATATAAGAAGTATCTTTTCTCCATTAAAATCACCTACATTGAACAAACTGACGAACACAAAGGGCTACTAAATAATTCAGATCCAAATCCAGTCATCAGTCATCTATTGGTGAGAGACAAACATATCACTGGCTATTGTTTTTATTTGTGAGAGCACAGACAGATTCTTAAGTGATCCTCTTGTCTTTACTGGGCCAGTGATCTGTTTGTTATGAGATTTGATATTGACTTCTTCTTAATATGGAGAGTTGGGATCTCTTTGTAAGGACCAAGTGGTCTCTTTCAGCTGCAGGGGTCTGGTGTATAGAGAGATGATCTGTCACTTTAGTCTGAGACTGACTGCTGACCACATAGCCTACAGCACAGCAGCAGGGAGCACAATGAAAGCAGCACACTATCACCTGACAGCTAATTAGGGATCACTCCCCTGGAAGGGAATACATTCTCTTTGAGGGAATAAGAGAAAGAAAGCAAGAGGTCACTGAAATGCGTGTGATATGTCAATCAAAGCCACAAGCCACCTGCAATTTCTAAAGGCAATTCCCTGACATCTTGCTGATATGCCTGGTTATCACTGCAGTAAATTGTTAATATCCTATCATCAAGTGTTAGATTTTTATGTCTTGTCTTTCACAGGCGTGAACTAAAATAAGAACCCCCTATCTCAACATTTCAACATCCTATCCCAACTCCTTTTTAATCTCCCAGTTCAGAATCACCAATTGTCCCCAAATGTGTCCATGCAATGAGTGTGTGTGTGTGTACATATATGCTCATCCAGCAGTGTGAGTCTATGGTTTATACGGGAGACCTGGGATTTCTTTGAAAACACATTTGTAACCATTAGTTGAGTGTAAGGTTTCATGTGCAGAGTGCATCCTCTGGACTGGTGTCAGAGTTTCTGCGAGGCTCTGCGGC